GATAGAGATGGGGATGGTGACGGGGATGAGGCTAGGGATGGAGATGGGGATTGGGATGAGGATGGGGGTGGAGATGGGGATAGGGATGGGGGTGGAGATGGGGATGGGGATGGTGACAGGTTTGGGGATGGAGATGGGGATGCGGATAGAGATGAGGATGGGGGGGGAGATGGTGATGGGTTTGGGGATGGAGATGGGGATGAGGATAGAGATGGGGATTGGGCTGGGGATGGTGACAGGGATGAGGATAGGGATGGGGATGAGGGCGGAGATGGGGGTGGGGATGGGGATGGAGATGGGGATCAGGATGAGGATGGTGATAGCGACTTCCTCCCGGCAGGATCTCACCAGTGACCCACCCCGAGGCACACCTGGAGGAGAACTACTGCCGCAACCCTGATAATGACAGCCATGGCCCCTGGTGCTACACCATGGATCCCCGCACCCCCTTTGACTACTGTGCCATCAAGCCCTGCTGTGAGACCCTACCTGCACCCCTGCACTGCTTGGGAGGGGGTCTCTGGCCACCCCCTGGGGTGGTTTTGGCCCTCCCAGGGTGGCTGGATCCTGCCCTGGTGCCACCCTCTGCTTTCTCTCCACAGCTGGCAGCAAGGTGCCCTCCATCCTGGAGAATGCAGGTGGGGGTCCGTGGGTGCCGGGTGGGTGCCATGGGGCAGGTGCCAGCGGCACAGCTCCGGCTGACTCCCACCCTGCCGGCAGACACGGTGGCGTTCGAGCAGTGCGGCCAGCGGGACGAGAGGGTGCAGCGAAAAGGGCGCATCGTCGGCGGCCAGCCCGGCAACTCACCCTGGACCGTCAGCATCCGCAACCGGTGAGCGGGCGCCCCGTCGGCACTGCCACGGGGGTGATGTCCCCCTCCAGGAGCTCACCCCCACCCTGTCCCCACAGGGCCGGCGTACACTTCTGCGGGGGGTCCCTGGTGAAGGAGCAGTGGGTGATCAGCACGCGCCAGTGCTTCTCCTCCTGGTAAGGCTGTGGCCGGAGAGCCGGGTGCTGGGAACCCTCCATGCCCTCATGTCCCCTTCCCACAGTGATGCCGACCTGGCGGGCTACAAGGTGCAGCTGGGGA